CGCTCACCGCCCGCCGCTCACCACCCGCCGCCAGGTGAGCAAGTCTGCCGTTTGAATCCTGTGTACGGGTGGGAGCCCGCCTCCCACCCGTACACAGGATCCGAAACCCGTACTGTCCGGGTGAAAACCGTACGGGTGGCAACCCTATCTGTATCCCATTGAGGAGATTTCTCTGACAGCTGATAGATACAACAGCAAGTGAGAGGAAATCCTCAAGCCCCAAGCCGCCTGCAGCTCTGCCAGCCGGGCCGCATCTCACTCGGCCCCGGCCCAGTCCAGCCTCGGTCCCTCCATCGGTCCCGCCTCCTTCTCCTCTTCCTGGCAGTTCTCTTCGATAAATGTGCCTGGTTAGGCAGCCAAGACTGCCTGATTCTGTCGCTACACCGGTTTGCAGGCGACGTTTTGCCGCCCCCCTGCAAAGTGCTGCCCAAGGTAAACCCCTTGTTTGCCTTGCGGTGGATACGCCCCTGTTGGTGTCACCCGAGCTAGTGTCCCCATTGGAAGATTTCCCCTCTATTCCTGTTCTGGTGACATCCCACATTTTTTTTCACTTTCAGTGATAACAGTCACCAGGACAAATAGAGGGGGTGAAGGACACAGACAGCAATAAAAAAATGCTAAATGCTCTCTACTCCATCCAAAACTAAAAAAAAATGTTTGGGCTTCAGTTGCACTTTAAATAAGAAAAGTGATACAATAATGAAAGCAGAGGCCGCCTCCTTCTCCCCTTCCCCAAAAGCAGGCCTGTAATTCATACTCGTGTCACCGCGTATCTTCGGCCACATCTGACGTCTCATTATTTCCACTTATCTTCCCCCGGTACATTCCTTGACATCATCTTTCCATTCTCTTCTATTGGCTCTCCTAAGCGATGTCACTCTGCGCCATATCTGTCATCTCGCTTCCGATTTTCTGCATGAGCTGTGACAGAAGGGGGGGGAGCTGCTAACGAGATGCCCGGCGCTCCGCTATTTCCAGTACGCAGCCGGTTAATCGGCCATGGCTCCGCGCAGCCCCGCTCTGTGGGATCACTCATTGTTTGAACACAGAGATCTAAATGAAATCTTTGGCTCTCCACGTTGTTTAGAGGACGGCAGCGGGGAGCACACAACACAGTAATACAAATCTAATCTGCTAATACCAGTATCATCACGACCAGCTCAATCCTGTCTCCAGAGTCTGCTGATATGACTGATGGGACGCAGGTGAAGATACCTCTAGGGTGCGGGGGGAGGGGGTCCTTTAAATTAAAAATAAAGCTGATCCAAATACGCAGGTAAAATACATACTGTATATGGGTTTGCACTGCGGTCCATCCAATTCTGAGATTTGCAAAGCTCTGTCACACAGCCCCTTAAAAGTCTTGTCCCTCCCCCGGTCTGTTATTATGTGCCTATAGGCCAATGCGTTTTGGGGGCCATATATTCTGTAAAAAAATAGTAAGAGGTCAAGGGAACCTCATAACTCGTTCACTTAAAGGAGAACTATGAGGTGAGTGCTTTTCACTCACCTCATAGTTCTAGCTGACCTGTGACAATGAGACTGTCACAGGTCGGCTCAGTAGATCGGGAGGTGAGCAAACACATACCGGCGTTTGCTCACCTCTCGATCCTGTCACGGTTCTCTGCCGTGACAGGGGAGGGGCTGGATTCCCCCCTCCCCGCTCCGATCCGCCAGCGCTGACTGGCGGAACGGACAGGGGAGGGGGCGGGTACAGCTGGCTCTGCCTCTAGATAGGCAGAGGCATCTGTCAGTCATGCAGCTGGGCGGATCCCGGCATAATTGTCGTGATCCGCTTCAGCTGCGGCGTCTCAGTATACCGGGAGCAGCAGCTCGCGGTATACTGCGGCGTCTCAGTATACCGCGAGCTACAGCTCACGGTATACTGAGCCTAGGGTGACGGGGGGACGGTGGTTTGTGTCCTCCCGTTACCCTAAGGAGAAATATGGGGAAAAGCCTTAACCCCATAGTTCTCCTTTAAAGCCCAAAAACCTTTCAGTTTCACTAAAGTACATTCCAGATGCATTAAAATTAAGGACCTTCAAAGTTACAGGTTGTTTGCTTTAGAAAGTAGCCATAGCTTTAGTAGAAAAGCCTGCCTCCTGCCAGCATGATGTAGAGAAGGAGAAGGACACTGTGTGTGGAGGCAGTGGTCTCTCTGCAGAGGTCAGACATGACTTATAGATCTTCAATAAGCATGGAGCATGAGCTTTGCTGGTTGCAGAGGTCTGACACAGCAGAGCACATCATTACGGGTGCTTACATTTTACAAACCAAAGGTGCCAACGTGTTTTTTGCTGGAGTTGAGCTTTAACACAAGGATAAGTATCTTTGTTTCAGTCATGTGACGGTCATTTTTAAGTCTCATTGGACCTTCCTGAAAATAACTGTCACTTTTCCGAAAAATAAGTATCTTTATCCTGGTTAGGGATGAGCTCAGGTTTGGACCCAACCTGGTTCAAACCTGAGGTCCTCCTAAACTGAAAGGGACATTGAACCACCCTCACAATCATCTGTGGGTCAGGACATCCCCCATAAACAAAGGGGCGGGATGCTTGTGCTGACATCACTGACCTTTTATGGGCACACAGCCATAGTAGGTCAACATTGTGGACCAAATATAGACATATGGCCATACGAGGTCAATGATGTCACAACATCCTACCCATTTGTTTACTTGCAGCTGTGGGCAGGGGATTTCCTGGCCACAGCTGGTTAGGCAGCAACAGAAGAAGCCAGGTTGGGACCAGGGGAATCCCCCTCCTTCCCCACAGCTGCACATAAACAAAGGGGCGGGATGCTTGTGCTGACATCATTGACCTTTTATGGCCACATAGCCAATATAGGTCAACGTCAATGAGAAATTATAGGCATGTGGTCATATGAGGTCAATCATGTCACAAACTCCTGATGCTTTGCTTACTTGCAGGGGAATCCCCCTGCCTTCCCTGCAGCTGTACATATACAAAGGGGTGGGATGCTTGTGCTGACATCACTGAC